GCGAGAACAGGAGTATGCGAATGGTGTTTGAGTGTCAAGGATGATCATGTTATTCTCCTGAACGGTCAAAGCAGATCAAATCACCGTACCATTAAACAAAAGGCAGACTGATTCACAAGAATGCACAAATACACACACACACACACACACACACACAAAGTTTCAAAGCACCTCCGAGCCACACCAACATAACACACTTTTAGCAAAATGCCTACAAGCCTTAACACCCTTCCACGCCGACACACATTTACGACACACGTATACAGTATATTGTTCAAAGACGTACATGACAACCTTACTCCCTACGAGGCATGCACGCATACTGTACACACACACACTGGCTACCATTTGAGCCATCAGCAATCCTATATTTAGCCAACAACATGTTTCAGTGCCAAATTACTGTACCATCAACACCAATCAGCAAACTTGTAAGCTAAACTGTCAAGTTAGATATTCTGGCTAGGCACAATGATTTCCCTTTAACGTACTGGGCAACACGCACAACTTCTTTATAACTCCTCGACTTCACAGTAAACAAAACCTAACCTCCTAATATACATACAAAACAGAATTTCATTGTTTAGAATATACAGGATTGGGGGGAAAGAAGGTAAAACTTGCCAAAACTATAAAAACAGAGATGGCCTCTTCTCATAAAATCCATCATTTTTTAAGAATCATTTCATTATCTTATTTGAGTTTTTTTCTGCCTAATAGTAGGCTAAGTTGTATTTTTTTTAATGCCATAAGCTGGATCCTCTTTCTTTTGGTATTTCAAATCACTTTCGTTTCCTGTAGAAGCAATCTCAATATATCTGACATGTGCTTGGCAGTAAAACGTCTGTGTAAATTCTCAGTCATCCAGCTGGGTTTTACTGAAGCTCCTCGGTCCGCAGTAAAGCCCTTTCCAGCATTTCTGGGAGTAAAATTATTTGTCTTTTCTGGAAGACTTTTACTGGGAAACCAAAGCAAGAGGTGCAGAGTGTGCAAAAAAAAAAAACAGCCGCTCAACATTGAAAGAACAACAAGGAAGAAGTGATTGATGGAGATGCAAAGCTGGATATTGATATGAACAAATGTCAGGCTGGGCAAAAAAAAGAAATAATCTAAATAACTTTTAAAAAAAACATGCAATTGTTTTGTAAGTTCTGACAATATAAAATGCAAATTCTATCCCACCGATCACCTTGATCTCGTTTTTTTAATTAGTATTTGAGAATGCACGTGTTATATTCACTGCTAAATAATGTCATTAATAAAATGGTGTCATAGCAGGGTAGGTGCCAGGTGAAAAAGTCTGCAGATAAAAGGTAATAAAGCCTCCTAAAGTCAGTACCAGGTCAAAAAAAAATGGCCTGAAGATTTTACACAAACAGACAACTTGAGTTACAAGCACTTATAACGATAAGGCTTGTCATGGTGACCAGATTTTCTCTCCTAGTAGCCTGGGTGTTATTCAGACATGCTGAAAGAGAGAGATTGTCCAGTGGAGTAATCTGTAAAATGATACTCACACACACACACATTCGTTTGGGGCCTCAAAACTCTCTCCGCTTCACTAGCTGCCATTTTAGAATGATCAGAGCTCATGAAAGCCCTTTTTTTTGGGTCCATGACAGTCTTGTATTACTAACTTCTGATGCCTTCTACAGTTTCTAGTTGATATACCACTTAGGTCAAGCGATGCCAAGAGAGGGGGGGAGGCCTAAATCCTGAAACTATTCATACATAGAGAAAATATACAAACATAGAGTACATACAGTAAATTACACGCATCACTTCTAGAAACTAGCATGTTCCATGCATCAGCAGTTTTCTGTCTTTTTTGTGACAACAGGCAATGTCTCTCTAATTTTGACCTTTTACAACGTTGTGATGAGCAGGTTCCTCACATTAAGATAAAAGTATAAAAGGTTAAAAATACTCCTCCTATTATCACTGAGCTACACGAGCTAATGCAGCAAACAATTATTTAATTATCATCCAACATTCCTATATTAAACAAATTGTACCAGATGTTATCGGTAGTATTGCCAGTGTATCAGAAGCCCAAAATCACAATATAACAAAATATTTTGTTATGCAGAAGAAATTGAAAAGAGTTACCAATTACAAACAAATCCAACCAACAGAATGAAACAAACTTGCTTAAGTTTATTTGTTGCTAAACCATTAGAAAAAATTACTAGAAACCTAAATAAATTCAATAAAACTCAAATCCAGAGAATTTTGCAGTCAGTTTTTCCACACACGTTTTTCAGACGTTGTGTTGAAAGTGTGAGGCAACATCTGCCTTGTGTATGCGTGTTTGAAGTAATGTGAAAGCCCCTGGCCCCAGCAGCTGTTCCGAAACAGATGTTTTCCAGTATAATTACCACGAGCTCACAAAGAGGATGAGAAAAAGATGGACAGAGAATGAAACAGTGAGACGGACACAAAAGAAGATAGAGACGCTCTGTGATAAAAAGACACCACTCAGCTTTCACATCCCTTGTGACTGCACATATAAACAAACCTGATGGCAGAGTGATTGAACTTTATGTCCACAAGCACACCTATGGACTGTAGCATTTTCAGCAGGGTTTTGTGCCACCGTGGGGTAGATTTCCTACCTGCAAGACAAGATGTGTCCACTTGTCCAGCCCCAGCCTGCCCTCTGTTCTGAAGCTGATGGTCTGGCTGTTGGACTGACCGTACCGCAGGGTGACGTCCTGCCCAGACACCGTCAGAGAAAAAACCAGCCGCCCTCCTAAACTCTTCTCCAGCAGCATCCTGAAGGAAACATACACACATAAACAATAAATGCATTACTTATTGAGCAACAGCTAACAATCCACAAGGGGAATATTTTGCAGTGATGAGTTGTTTTAACTTAAATCAGAAAATGAAAGGTAGGACAGACCCCAAAACCCACAGAGTCGAGCGCCGCCGCTATGTACAGTCTCTCCTTCTGACATTTTCACATGGAATATCAATATTTTACATGACTGTGAGGTTTCAGCTGCTACGCTGGGTGCAGACACGCACAGCCGCCACGTGTCATATTAACCACCATCGCTGACATTTTATAGGAAATCATGGCTTTTATGAACCCAGAGCAGCGTACCCTATAAATCACAGATAGATGCACGCAGGAGAAAAAGCGCATTTGAATGTGTGTCTGCACATGCATGCGTGTGAATACGTGCCTGTGTGAAGGGACTGAGACAGACAGACAGACTGACTGAAGAAGTATTAGAAAAGGGAAAACATGAGCGGTTAAGATACAAGAGCAAACAACGTGACAAAAATGACTTCTTGTACCAAAAGTGCTTTTACTTTTTATATCCTCCTAAAGTTGTGCTTGAAGTCAGCCATGCTCGTATGGAATAATCTTTAGATTATTTAGTTATTAATCAGCTGTCCTAAAAAATGCCACGAAACTGAAAATGCCCACCAAGTTAACATATTTAACCTGCTTCTTGTGTCCGACCAGCACTCCAAAACCCAGTACGTACACAGATATATTAAAGTTTTGTACCAGTGATGGCAACCCAGCTTCCCAGCAAATACACACATTTAAGAAAGCAGAACCAGGAAACCTTTTGCACTTTTGCTTGAGGAATTTGTCAATTGTTTAAAAAATATTGATCAACTAACACTTTAAGCTATACTTCCCCTCATTGATTGCTGCAGACAATAAAGCTCATTTTCTCTTTCAGCTACTTGTGAAAATGACAACACGTACTTTGTTATCTAACTCCGGTGCACACACAAACCAAAATGTCTATTCAGATAGAGAATCCTCCAACAAGACAAATATAACTTTATAATCAGTTACTAGAAGTGAAGTCACAGTGTAATAAAAACTATGGTTTGTAAGAACAGGTGGCTGGCTCTGTTCATTGTTCAGAGGAGGGGAGGGATGTGAAATCACAGAAAGAGGGAGAGACAAAGAGAGGGGGGCGAGGAGAGATGGACAGAGGTGAGGATAGAGACCTCCTTTCATCTGGCTTCTTTGATGGCAGCCATGATCGTCTCTACAACAAAAGAATGATAGCCAACGACAGCAACAGAAGCCGAGGGAGGGAGAGAGGGAGAGTGAGCGGGAGGGGGCAGAGATATTACTTCCATTCAGATACCTTCAGCCATACAGGTGTCATGTTCGGCAGAGCAAGACAACAAGACTTGTCTGTCATCTGAATCCCCCAGACGGACAACTTCACAAACAAAAATCACAGCGTGAAATTTAAAGGAGAGATTTGATCTCTGTCTGACTCTAGTTTAACGAAACGGACAGTGACATTTAACTGAACATCCAGTGCGTTACTAGAATACACATGTAACCTGTCCAGTGCTGCCCTGGATCTCTCCTCAAGCCATCAGTCATGTTTATCTTTTCAGCACATTGTTGAATACACCAATCTGCCACATATATAAAACCACTGACAGGGCAAGTGAAAAACGTTGATTATCGCATTACAATAGCACCAGCCAAGAGGTGGGACATGAGAGAATAATCAGTTCTTGAAGTTGATGTGGTAAAGTAGTGAGGTGGTTAGCACTGTTGCCCCACAGCTAGAAGGTCCTGGGTTCGATTCCCAGCCTGGGGTCTCTCTGTGTGGAGTGTGCATGTTCTCCTTGTGCCTCCATGGGTTCTCATCCACAAAAAAAAATGATATTTTTCTAAATGTTGTAATGGTTTTTAAATGATGTCATGTTTTTAAATACTTTGTTGTTTTTAAATGCTGTAAAGCACTTTGTGTTGTTGTTGTTGCACATTTAAAGTGCTACATAAATAAAATTTGATTGATTGATTGAATTTGATTGATATGCAGTGAATGTGAGTGTGCTTGGTTGTTTGTCTCTCTATTTGGCCCTATGATAGACTGGCAACCTGTCCAGGATGTCCCCTGCCTTCACCCTGAGTCAGCTGGGATAGGCTCCAGTCCCCCATGACCCTAGTGAGGATTAAGCAGTGTTGGAAGCAGAAAAATAAGTGTAAGGGTCTGAGCAACTTTGACAAAATGGTAAACGGTCTGCACTTATAAAACGCTTTTCTACCTTGGTGGTACTCACACACATTCATGCACCAATGGCGACAGAGCTGCCATGCAAGGCGCTTGCCTGCCAATGGAAGCAACTTCGGGTTCAGTGTCTTCAGGTTCAGACACTTGGACTGTGGGCTGGTGATCAAACAACCTTGCGAACAATCACTCTACCACCTGAACCACAGCCGCCCTAGGGTGAAACCATGATGGTCACACAAATCGGTTGGAGCATCTCATGGATCAGAGCTGAATGGATGAGGGAGGCCAACATAATATTAGACAGGTGGTGCATGTGAAATTAGCAAATGCACAATATCTCCTGAAAGTTTAAAAAAAACCCATAATGACTGAATTCACAAACAGAAAAGGCTTGCTTTGTTTGTCCACATGGAGCAAACTATCGATTGTCATAATAAAAGACAGTCTAAAAAAATTCCATATCTAGATAAGTGAAAGCTGTTCAGCAAATCTGTCACCAGCTACTTAACAGGTCTGACATGGTACTGCTGCAAATGTGAAAAAGTTGTCTTTTGTGGTTTTTGTGGGCAATGAATCAGGGTGGCAATTCAAAGCTACACAAACTATCAACAACATAGCTTCCACTGTTATACTTGTGAAGTTCAGTAGCTCTGTGGTTAAATAAGTATTTTGATACTTTTATTTTTAAACTGTCCATCACTGGTCTAACAGTGTTGCAGGAGTGCAATGCCAAACCACAAGAGATATGAGGTGTGTCAGAAATGTTTCAGGACTGGTGTCACAAAAGATATATTTCAAACCCAAACTACAACCTACAAGTTCTCCCCTTCCAAGTAATCCCCCTGGAGTCTAACACACTTCCCCAGCCTTCTCTGCCGCCACGCACTCCTGGAAGGATTCTTCCAGGATCCTCCGCAGCTCCATCTTCACATGTTGATGTCGTCCATGTCTTCAAAACGGGTCCCCTTGATGACCCCCTTGAGCTTAGGGAAGAGGAAAAAATCCCACGGAGCCAGGTGGGGTGAGTAGGGAGGTTGCTCCAGCACGGAGATCTTCTTCTCAGCCAGGAACTGTGGGATGCTCAGGGCATTGTGAGCAGGCGCGTTGTCATGGTGAAGCAACTACAACTTGTCCTGCCACAACTCTGGCCTCTTCTCGTGCACTGAACGAAGCAAACGCTGCAGGATCTCTTTGTAGATGTGCTGGTTGATCGTCTGAAGGGGAAAACTGGTAGTTTGTAGTTTGGGTTTGAAATACATCTTTTGTGACACCAGTCCTGGAACTTTTCTGACGAATACAAACAAGACGTCATGCATGTTTAGCCTAGTTCTAATTTCATGACTTGGCATGCCGTGTTGTTTAAGTAATCTACTTTTACGTGCTACTGTATGAAGGAAGAGATAGGGTTGCCAAGCAAAGCCAACTGATCTCTTTTTGTGTGTGCATGCACCTCGTCAAAGCGTATGTGTGTGTGAGTGTGTGCGTGTCTGTGTGATTGCAAGCTGATCTGAGTGAGAGTAACTCTGCACCGCACTCGTCCTGCCGGGAACATACCAGCACACTCTCATCCCCTGAAACTCACACACACACAACACGTCTAAGTAGGACATGACAGCCACTTGTTTCCTGATGGTGATACTGACCTGACCAGACCCCGCCTGTTTCTTGTCATTAGATCAATATCGCAGCGTTTTCACTTTCTTGTCAAGATTTGAAAATCAAACTCAACGTCATATCAGAGCAGATTCTTGTCCAAACATCTCAGCAGCAGCGTGTTTCTAGAGGGAGGTTGTATTTCATCAGTAGGATGGGATGATGCACAACAGTAATTGTGACCCACTACAGACTAACGTGTGGTTATTTCTCTTGTCTGTTTGACTAAAATAATTTTATTATATACAGAAACAACTTTATCTGCTTAATTAATTAGTTAATAGTTCTTCTCAATTTTCCATCTTCTCACATGGAAAGCAGAATTTTGATTACAAAAATTTCTGATTTAAGAATTCTAACTTGAAAAACACTTTACCGGTGGACAGGAAAGCAAGAAATGAGCAGGATTATCATAGAGAAGGAGACACTTACCTGAATTAGGTTAAATAAAAACTTTACTGACCACTGGGCTTGTTTCCTTTTTTACAGGATTCCTCATTGTCTGCTCCATCCTCTGATGTCTCTAGTTCGTGTGATCAGTTTCCGTGCTTCTGTTATATACCAACACCTCCACATCATCCCACATCTGGAACTCCCTGCCAGCTCTCCAGCCATGACTACATTCTATATAACTGAACCAATTGTTATCAACCTGTGCTTCCAGACATTTCTCCAAACTCGCAAAGCTTGATAGATGTCACATGATGTTACTAATGTTCTAATTGGTTGTGCTAAATGAAACTGTAAAGTCTGATGTGTCTTTGGGGGTTTTCACTGAAATCAGTCTCTATCCATCACTTTATCAATACCACTGATCACTGACTAATGTATAGTTTCATACATTTTTCAACCAGCTTTTCTGTGTTTAGTGAAAACCCAGATAGTTTAAAATCATTCAACATTCATCAAAATATGAATTTCTACCAATCAAAGTTACTGCCGCTAATTGTTTTACACACACAGACTAGGCAGGCTACAAGAGTTGTCTATAAACATATACATTTTGTAATGTTTACCGGTGTCGCCAGAAAATGTTGTAATTTAAAATGAGCACAATTTAAAGAAAGTTTCATATCTCAATCTATGCCACTGATTATTCTGAAAAAAATAAACTTACATGTCTCCCGTAGAGCTCGGTTTAATCCACAATGCCAAGGTGAGGGAACCCAGCGCTCCCAGTGTCTGTGAAGGAGGCGAGACCAGACATCCATCCTGGCCTGGTCGAAACAGCAAACTACCAGATCCACCAGAAACCCCGTCTGAACTGCTAGAGGTTCCTGTCTCTTTCTGAGTCCCAGGACGAGTGTCATCGGTGTCTTCAGATACGCAGGTACCCCTGATGGAATTAAGACATGTCAGCATGTTTTACCAACTTAAATTCACTGCTGTTTCTACTTTGCATGGACTGAAAGGTCAAAGGTCACACATTGTGCAACCTTGTGAAACATATTTGTATGATTTTAATCCAGCTACCTGTGTGCAGCTAGCAGCAGCGGGGCATACGGAGGTGTGGAGGATCTATAGGGACACTCCTGCACACAGAAGGCTTGATAACATGTCAGCAGTTCAGACTGGGAGGAAGGTGATTGACAGTAGCTGCTCCGCTCTGGAAAGCCACAAGTGGAGCGAGGCAGAGAGGTGGACACGGGTTTGAAGGCAGCGATGTTCTCCATTCGCGGGAAATGTCCCTGTGAAAGGGCAAAAAAAAAAAAAAAGTGTGATCATTCCATGTAATCTAAATGTCTTGTAGCAACAGCAACCACTGACATTTTGATGAAACAGTAAAGTGTAAGGATAGTTAGAAGAATCTCATACAAAGTGCTACAACATTTTAATTTCAATGACAAATAGCAAAAACTTTGGAGAAAAAAGGAAAAAACATTTGGGTATATTTGCTGTTTAGACATTCACTGATTTCACCAAATAGGCCTTTTTCACAGAAAGAGTTTAGAAATGTGAAAGTAGGAAAAGAACAGGTGTAAATAAGAAATGCAATAATGGCAGCAGTTTATTTAGCTGGTTCAGGTGTTGTTGACATTTGAGCAGAGCTGATTAATGTTAATAAACATGTGTTTCCTACAACAGAATGGTGCATCTATTCAAAACTTATAAATAATACACTATATAGTTAATAACAAAGATGGGTCAGATATTAGAAATGTCTCTTGAAATCCACTCTTACCTGTGATGAAGCAGGTTTTGGGCAGAGGCTGAGAAAGAGGAGAGACAACCAGAGGAAGATACCGATGTTCATCTTCCTCTTCATCCTTTCTTCGTTGATGTTTTTTTGGGGCATCGGCCACAGAAAGTCAGGCCAGCGCTTCTTTTTCCTCGTCATTTTCTCCATTTGCAGGATCGCACCTCCTCTTTCTGTAACTGACAGCATTCCATCTTTCTTGTTCTTCTCTTTTGGCCCATTTTTTCTACTTCCTTGTGGATTTTTTTCCCACTTGCCATCTTTCCACACATTACCCAGCTCCTCTCTTCCTCCTTTCATCCTCTCTCTGTTGCCTCCTCTGCCCCATGTTTGCCTCTTCCTTTGCAAATTTCCTCCCGTCGCTCCTCCCTCACTTTCCTCCTCTTCAGTCCATCTCAGGCCTTTGACCCCACAACGTTCAGGAATCGGCTTCTCTGAAGGTTCCAGCATGGTCCCCGGTTCTAGAGTCTCGGACAGGGGTGGTGGAACATTTCCGGAGGCAGCGGTACGTTCAAGAACCTGGATTTCTTCCTGAAGCCCTCCAGCAGCGTTTGAATAAGTGATGACTGTCATGGTTTCATGGTTCCAGGGTTACAGGGACATTTTTTACAGGCCAGTGCCCCTGGGGTGAAGCTACGAAGCTTAGCTCTCCGTTACACTGTCTCCGTCCCTCACACTCACACCCGCGCACACACACAAACCACAACCAAAGCCTTCACATGATAGGTAGGATTTCACAATCTAGAGAGGGAAAAGAGAGGAGGAGAGAAGGAAAGAGAGACGTGGTCAGACCAAAATCCAACATGAGACAAATCTGAGGAGAGTGAAATGCCATGCAGGCTATTCCCTAGCCAAAGCCTACACTATCATGTACAGCTTGATGGAGGCACAGCTCAACTGATACTGCTACATCGCTTTCCCCCTTTTCTTCATTTTCCATTGAATTAAACATGCCCCTTTTTTTTCCTCTGGCATCTGCCCCTCCAGGTTTTATCCAACTAAACGGGTTTCCACATAAGTTTGTTGGAAATTGAGGCTTAGGCCAAAGCTCTCTTCATTACAATACTTAAGCAGCTTCAATTTCACATTTTGACACACAGAGAGAGGCCAGCAGTCATCTCTGGTAACACCGGGGATGACTGCTGGGTCCAGGCTCTTCCTCTGTACTGTCCGTCTGGAAAATAGGGGAAGCTTCCACAGTATCTAATAACGGCTACGAGCCTGAATGCAGAGCAAATTTGTTTATCTATGCAGATATTGTAACACCACATAACACACAGAGAGCTCCTCGAGGTTTACCTGTCGCGGTGGACTCCCAGCACACAGCTCTATCCCCATCACAAGTGCAGCGTCAACAAACAACTTGTTGCTGTGGCACGAGGCGAACAAAAAGCGGCTACCTGCGTGTCCACACACCTGTCTGTCTGTCAGCGACAACACACACGGAGAGAAAATAGTCCTTCCCCAACATGACTGCAAGTAGTTTTTTTTTTTTTGTACAACACAGAGAGATGAAGACAGCTCAGGTGAACTTGATACAGCTCCTCTTTCTTCTTCTTCTTCTTCTTCTGTCTCACCGCTCTCATTCACAACATGCGGCGCGCGCACTGCTAAGGAGATTAGCGCGAGCTGCCATCTGGCCAGCAAGGCGCTCGCGGCGGCAGGATACCGGACACTAAGTAACGGCGGGGGCCGCGTTACTCTGCGCGAGGGGCGAGTAACGGAAAACTTGAGAGCCCCGGAGGCGGCACGAGAGCCAACACAACCACGTCTCCGCTTTTTTTTTTTTCTTTTTTGCACGTGTTACAGAACAGCTACGATTGTCTTTGACAGCGAGGCATTAATATGCGATTTAAATAATTACCCCCTGCCTGGTGGTAATGCTTCACCCCCCCTCCCGCTACGTGGGATGCGTCTGCGGTTCAGACAAGTGGCTCTGGAGAGGAGAGGAACGCTACCGCCGTCGCTAGGCAACCGTGATCCGCACCGGCCACTGAGTGGGGCTGAGGTGGGAAATCATTTTGTGGTCCATCATATCAGACATGTTCATCCTCACCTGAACATCAGCATCAGAGGAAGCAAAGCACTGTGAGGAAAACTAAATATGGAGACATTTATCCTCCTATTCCCGTTAATTTACTGACATCTTTTATCCTTGGCGTCAATCTGACCCCAGAAATTTAAACCTCCACAAAATTATCAAAATTTAAATTGTTACCCCAGTTTATGTGTAAAATGCCCCCTAAATAAAACAGAACAAATTATGTCAATCATTTGTTTAGAGACATTAAACAGTGACTGGGGTCAAACTGACCCCAAAGATAATAGGAGGGTTAAGAGAAGCATAGATGGCCCTGAATCATTCATTCATTCATTCATTCATTCATTCATTCATTCATTCATTCACAACACCTCTAAGAAAGAGTTGCATCTACAGTTCACCAAACTGGAATGCCTCAAGCAAGACTGTTAGGCCTACTGTAAATGTCAAGAGGTGCTAATAAAATTCTAAAATGAGCTTTATACTCCTTTTTTCTGAAGAGGCATTGAAAAAAAACAAACACACAAAAACACGTACCTAACTGAAATCACAATTGATAATAAATACTAACAGACAGAAAAATAATCATAGGAATAGTGAATAATGAGCAGAAGTGTGATCAATGGGCCTTGAACAACTCAAGTCAACTCAACTTGTTGTTCATCTTGTTTGGATGTAGCCTCTTGACCAGGTCCTTATTGAAAATGAGAACCGGTTCTCAACTAACTTACCTGGTAAAAAAAAAAAAAAAAAGGTTAAAAAAAAACAAAAGTCAATCTCCAAAGTCAAGAATATAATCAAGTGCATAATCATTTAGGCCATTTGAACCATGTGTTTGTTAAGAGATATATAACCAGATAAGCTGAATGTGGGTTCTCTCCTGGTTTTGTGGCTTCCTCCCACACAGTCCAAAGACATGTTGAGGTTAATTGGTGATTCTAAATTGTCCGTAGGTGTGAATGTGAGTGTGCTTGTTTGTCTGTCTCTAAGTGTAGCCCTGTGATAGACTGGTGACCTGTCCAGGTGTCCCCTGCCTTCACCCTGGGATAGGCTCCAGCCCCCCTGCGACCCTAGTGAGGATTAAGCGGTGTATAGATGATGGATGGATGGATGGATGGATGTAATGCTAAATAATTAGGAAGCTGAAGATCATAATGTTTGAAAATCATAATATATTAGGGAGGTCCACATGTGAACTATCAGTAGGACTGTTTTGTAAGCCCCCACTGCATCATTTCACCTGCTCAGGACACAAAGCGTAAGGCCGCGATGTTCAGGACACAAGTTAGGCTGAACAGAGGTTGCATGAGGTTCTGATGTAAACATAAGATGTAGCTCAAGACAGGAGGTGAGAATCAGGTGAGAGTTTGTGAAAGTCTATGATGCAGGTTGGACAAGGTCAAATAAATGCATCAAGGTTAATGCATTAACAATTTTAGTGCAATTTCTAGTTGCTCTCGAGACCATCTCAGTAATCACTGCATATTTACACATAGTAAAATAAACCTACAAGTAGACTGAAGATCACTGACTTTGTTCATTTTCTTCTACTTAAGTGCGTAGAAGGATTTAGACTAATTTAGTAAATGTGGGCCCTGTGATAGACTGGTGACCTGTCCAGGATGTCCCCTGCCTTCACCCTAAGTCACCTGGGATAGACTCCAGCCCCCCAGCGACCCTGGTAAGGATTAACAGGTGTATAGATAATGGATGGATGGATAGTAAATGTGGTAATTCTAAATCACAGTGGCCGCAGATCTGAAGTCACACTTTCTAAGTTTAGTATTTATCAATGGGCCTATAACTTATGAGTCACTTAGCTGAATAAATCAAAAGCAGCTCAAATAAAGGAAACAATCTTAAAAGAATAGATGTGGAGGTTATGTCACACACCACATGGGTGCAAATGATCTGAGCAGTGAGTCTCCATTTGAATCCCAGCCGGCTCGACTACTTGTTGCACGTCTTTTCCTGCTCTCTTCTTCCTTAGTAACTGTCTGCATCCAGTGTTTCTGTCAGTCAAGGCATTTGCATCCCCAAATGCAATATACATATGTAAAAAAAAAAAAAAAGATTCTAAAAAAAAAAGAAGAAGAAGAAGAAAGGACCAGTGTGTAGGATTTAGTGGCATCTGGGGTGAAGTTGTACATCAACACCAACTACCTCCCTTTTGGGATTGACCAGTCATGGATCTGGCCTAATATTAACCCTGATATTAGGCCAGATCCATGACTGGTCAATCCCAAAAGGGAGGTAGTTGGTTAATTAATCCCAATTAATCCCAACATTAATATCTTTTTGTTTGTTTGTTTGTTTGTTTGTTTGTTTGTTTGTTTTTACCAATTCCCAGTAAATTTTAAAATCTGCTACATTGGCTCTGATGCACTGCAGGGTGGCGCAGTTGGTAGCACTGTTGCCTCGCAGCAAGAAGGTTGCCGGTTCGCGTCCGGTGGGGGCACCAGAATCTTTCTGTGTGGAGTTTGCATGTTCTCCTCGTGCAGCGTGGGTTCTCTCCGGGTTCTCCGGCTTCCTCC